CTCTCAGTCACAGCCTGAGCTGCTGGTTAACTGCTGTTGTTCTCATTTATCTCAAAGTGTTGACAGCGTCTTTACAGCGGAGTTGACCTTCTAGTCCTTCTGTGTTAGAGCCCATTGGTGTTCAGAGTGGATGAACGTGTAAGGTGGAGGAAGAGATCGGGAGGAAATGGATCGGAGGGAGGGGCCAGTAGTAAGAGTGATATATGAGAAAAGACCGGTGGAGACGGGAGTGTTTGACGGGTTTCAATGACCTCGACCTCCGTCGCTGCTGTGTTTGCACCGACTCTAATGAGACGTGTGGTGGTGACGAGATACACTTTAATTAAACAGCTCTTCCTGCGCTGTCTGCGCAAGGTTCAACCACACAGACATATCCACACACTAACTGAGAGGGAGACGGGGGAGGAGAGACGTCAGACTCCAACCAAGGTTTTTGCCTAAATGCCCTTGATACTGATCTGAACTCCAACCTTAACTAAAACCAATATTAAAAACATAGATGAATGTCAATGGATCAGGACGTCGCTTCAGCTACAAGTGCACATTTTCCTAAATGTTGTCTACAAAAAAATTTATAGATTTGTAATTTATGTATAAACTTTATATATTTAAAAAAAATCTTGTATTGAAACAAATTTTGTAGAATCTTATGATGGTAAAATATCTAATGTTCCAGTTGGCCTTTCTAAAAAACGAATAAAACCCACGCGTTTTACAATACTACTAGAAAGAAACAACATCAACATATGGTTGATCAACATAAAAAAAAAAGACGTAGTTTTATGGTTGATCAACATAAAAAAAAAGACGTAGTTGAACATTTTGACACGGAGCTGAGGTTTTCTTCAGATAATGTCATTGCTACGTGTCCTCCATCGGCTGTTTTTAATTGACTAAACAATCAGGGTGACCTTGCCTCCCATTGGCTGATCACTCCTTAAGGGGGAGCCTCCAGATGTGCACCAGGAAAAATGCCTTCTCTTAATTCATCATCCATTGTTCCTGGTCGGAATGGTATGTTCTGGCACACTGTGGGGCTGAGCGCCGGGTTATCTGTGCGACTGTACACCTCCAGCAACATCGTGACTAAAACAGTTTTGTTACCTGAGTTGTATTTAAATCGTACTGAAGTAGGAGACCCTTCCGTCCACGTGAGAAAAGCCTCTACTTGTTTTCCTTGAAGGTGTGAGTAATTACACCACGTTCTCTGATTTTTCTTTTCCGACAATCACCGCCTGCTCTCCTCCTTTTGTCTCCTCCTGTCCTTCGCCTGCGTAGCTGCAGGTCATTCTATTTTAGCGCTCGCTCAAAACAGATCTAATTCAACCCAGATTTGCACGCTGGAGCGTCTGGTGCAATTGTGTCTGTGGAAAAGTCATGTGTGTGTAAGTGTGTCAGTGACGCAGGAAGCAAGAGGGAGCAAGGAATCATTGTGATGAGGAAAAACAGTCAGACCAGACGGACTCTCAGCCCGACTCTGAGACTCCTGACCAGCGCGGGGCTCTAGGGTCACCACAGAGACGTCATGGGCAACTTGGCCGACCGTGTTGGGCCTAAGAAGAGGTCAG